AAGGACAGCTGGTATGCCCGTGTAACATGCCTCACTGGCCAATGTCGCCATTTGCCAAATCCACGCGCGCGTCAGGTAGTAGAATGTGCGTGTGAGTGCAATACCACTGCAGTTAGGGCGTCTATTCGGATTAGCCTATACATAAGGAATACAGCTTAAAAATGACGGAAAAGCAGAAACAGGTTAGATTGACAGATTTTCACTTGGAACACTGTCCCACTGAACTCATCGTTGTAGCTTTAAACCTAATACTTTTGTCACCCGCGGGCGTGATCTCCTACGGCGATTCTAGTCTCCCTTAATATCTTTTAAGCTTTGTCACGGTTTTCACCGTGGAATCCGGCTTAGGACACTGACATAGCTCATCCACTGCTCTCCTCTTGGCCCTCAACCCATGAGTTGTTTCCATAGCGCCAGACGGTTTGCTGGCAGCTCAGGATGTCTGTAGCCTAACGGAGGGTTCTGCTAAGGCTTAGGACACTGACATAGCTCATCCACTACTCTTCTCTTGGCCCTCAACCCATGAGTTGTTTCCATAGCGCCAGACGGTTTGCTGGCAGCTCAGGATGTCTGTAGCCCGATGGAGGGTTCTGCTAAGCCCGTCGGCCACTTATGCCATATTTTGCAGGATCCGAGGTAGTATGCTGTGAGGGGTTTTACTGGCCATGTGGTCTCTCTTGTCGATGTTGAGTGCCATCCTCAGTATTCTGGTGTGCAATTGAGGGGCTTCTGAAGGGTTGGGGTTAGGGTCCCCCTGTTTTGGTCCCACTTGGGGCGGATAGCAGAATGGACTACCAGCGGCCCGGAAGAACCTGAGCTTGACAGCCCTTGACATGTTTGAGGTCTAAACAGTTTTCATTCCATTAAACGCCTTCCAAGCAAGGCCTTCACAAATGTGGACCTTAGGGCCAGATTATTCAACCCATGATCCTAGATCCTTGATCAGTCCATGGCTTCCTTGTGAGGGCAGGCCTCTACCTAAACCAACCTAAATTTGGGGGCCTATTGTAGAAGCTAAACTAGGGCAGGGAAATTTGACCTCTGAGCTTTTGCTTCATGTAGGCCATCCTCTACAATGGCTTCCAACATGTGCCCTCATATATGCGGCTGGCATGTGACCTACCGGGTAGCCCTAGGCACATGATTTGGACGTAGTCTTAAGGATACGTCCCGGGGCAAACACTCTGAACTGTCACGCAAGCCCATTCCACTTCATGAATAACAGTACTCCACCGAGCGTTTGCCTGCAAGAGGTTATTTTCCGAACTACACGACTGACACCCATGACCTATTATCACGCAGCGTATAACAAGTTGACTTTAGAATCAGAATTGATTTCAAGTTAAATGGAACTGGAGCTGATTACAGCACAAAAGTCAAGGCACCATATTGCAGTCACACACACACTTGGCAGATCACATACGAAGTGATGAATTAGCTTTCAACAAGTTAATATCAACAAATCACAGGATTATGAGGTTATCACTGCAAAGGCTTCTAAAGCGGGCATCATGTATTTATTTGACTGGTATCTATTTTCGACCAGTCTTGAGTTTAGCTTCATAGCACTTTGAACAGAGGAAGTCAGTGCTCTCTGTGCCGTAGAAATCGCAGCCCTTTCTCATGCAGGGCCTACTTCCAACATCCCTGGGCATGCTCTTGGCTGCCTTGGACTCTTGGGACTTGGCTGGTTGGGCTGATTTCAAGGGAGGCTGCGGGGATGTGGGAGGTTGAGTTGAGGGAGACTGCGGGGAGTGGGGAGCTTGCAGCGGCCAAAACCCCGGCTGATGAGCTGGCTGGGGGGAGACGGAGGCCCCCACGGTCGATTGATGCAGCTGCTGCGAAGCCACTTTGGCTGATCTGACGATCTGGGGAGACCTGGGCGGCTGTGAAGCTGCCTGTGATGGGGTTTGGCGGTATGCACCTACCCCAGGCTGTAATTGGTGGATTCCCTGCACCAGTTGGCTGATGGCTCCAGGCCTCTCCTCACGGCCTGCTGGCCGGTTAGCATAGCCCTGAGGTCGAACGTTGAGTTGGTTGACCAGAACGGTCGACTCCACTGGTGCGTCCAGCTGGTAACCGTACTGGTAACTTGCGGGTCTGGTACTCGTCAAGGAAGCCATTAGCTGTTGATGATAATGTGGCTGGGCCCTGAGAGCCTGGGGTATAGGGTTGCTCTTTGTATGGCTCAAAGGGTTCTGGAAGACGTTCAGATGCACCGGCTGCTGGTTGTACCGACGGTAGACCTCGGGACTAGGCTGCCTGTTCTGGTACAACTGTTCTTGTCCGTTGTAGCCCCGGCCCACAGGGTCTTCGTGGTAGAAGCCTCTGGTGTTGGCCGCAGGTTCATCCCAGTTCCTGGGCGGAGACAGGCGGGAGGCTGCCAGTTTCTCCTGTTGACGGTTCTCCTCCTTGAGAAGCCTTTTGAGTCGGCGCTCCTCTTCAAACCTCTCCTTGGCCTTGTCGATGTAGTTCTTGATCATCTCTTCTTGCAACTGGTGCCGCCTCTCGCTCATCTTGGCCCCGGCAATTATGGCTGGGTCCTCCAACTCAGCCATGGTGATCGCTCCAATTTTCCTCTCCGGCAACGGCACCTTTCTGTCACCGGACCAACTGCCATTTTTGCTCTTTTCAAGCTTGGCGAAGTGCTTCAGTTTTCTGCCAAACGAATTCCGGCCCTTGTCGCTTTTATGAAGCTCGACAGAGTCGAGGCGACTGATCTTGGCCTTGCCCTTCAGGCCGTTGGAGGTTGCTGTGGGTGACTGTTGCCCCTCTCGCTCCCGTGAATCGTCTCTCCCCGATCCAGGGTCAATGGGAACCTTGACCAGGGTCAGGTACTGGTGTAGCAGCTTGAGCTTGTCTGCCGTGCTAAGGCTCTTGTCCGGCTGGCTTCCGGCCTTGCTGGTGCTGCCCCACTGCCAGGTGGGTCCTGGGTCGACCGCAAAATGCACCGGGAGCAGCTTGTGGTAACAGTCAGTGATGGGTATGACAACTGCACAGAAGAATCAAAATTGTAAATTGTGTCAGAGTGCTCCAAGAAATGATCATACAGATTCCAAAGTTAACATGCAACTCTTTGGGAAACCTACAGTTACTTTATCACACCCTCTTTAAGTTCTATACTTATTACACATAAATGTGATGTGATTTGTGGAAACCCTTCAGATTTACCATCTGCATATAAACTTCAAAGTGGACACACTCTTGTTTTCAGGTTGTCTACACCATACATGTAAATCTAGGTTGTCTAGAAGCAGGAATTACACAGCTTTGAAAACAGGACAGTGTCCAGATCAATTTATGTTGATATGTACCAAAAAGACAAAGCTCGCCACATGAAGGGTTTTCGCAGATCACATCACAAATACCCGGTACCAGTACTTTCACCCATAGTATTTGTACACATACCAGGTACTTCCGAACCCTCTGAAGTAATTCTCCGCACCACCAATTTACCATTCTGTTACCACATCAAAACAACAAATCAAAAAATAACCCTTCCACGATCTTGATTTCCATGACTTTTCCATAACTTTTTTTCCCTCTGAAAATGGGATTCCAGGACATTCTATTTTTCACCCAATTTTCTGTGACTTTTCCATGACTTTCCAGGCCAACCCTGCACCCACTACTGCAAAATAAAAATTGCCAGGACATGTATGGAAGTTTACTGTCACCGGCAACTGTGATGGGGTTTGTAACCCGTCTAGCACAAAAGTTAAATGGTTCATTACAGCAAGTTATGGTGTAACATCACAGCCTACCCGGCAAAGGATTGCTGCTTCCGTTCTGGCTGTCGTAGTCCTCCAAATCATGCTCCATGGGCACCAAGGCTGAGAAGTGGGCTGTGTCATAGGTCAGCACCAAGGGGGAGGCCTCGCAGCTCCGGTGGGGTACCTCCAGCGGGAGATAGATGCCGCCAAAGGAGATTGGAGCAAAGGCCTCGCCGTCGGCGCCCCGCAGCATGGTGTCCGAGACCACGATGATGGGCCGCCGCAGGATGTGCGCCAGGACAAAGACGTGGAACTCCTCCAGGCTCTCGTAGGTCAGCTCCTCTCCATTGTCTGTCGGGGTCGGGGGCTTGTCTTCGGAGAGTGTTGGCAGGGAACTCCTGGACAATGCAAATCAAAGAGTTTCTGGTGACATGAAGCATCTGAAATAGAGTCACTGGACCCGGGCATCTGTTTGACACCCTGTATAGCATTTGGGACACTCTGTTTTCTTCGTGCAAGTGCATCGTGAATATGGACGTGCAACTTAAAGGTACAGTCAATCATATGTCATAATTTGAGCATTACGCTCCACTGAGGAAACAAAATTACTCAAAATCCAAAGAACTTCGAGATGTGCCTAAGAATAAACTGGATGAAGTTTCAGCTCGGTGATTATGCATGTATGTATGGCACATTCTAAAATGTCAATTTCTGATCACAAGCATGTTGCCAGTCAAGTTTATAACTGCGCTTAAATTCAGTGTCTGGGACATGTTTTCATGTTCAGTTGGATGTAGCTACGCAGTCATGCACTGAACCGACAAATTACAGTAACAGTGCATGCCTGTGACGTGCTAATGCTTGCGCATGCTTCTAATGACAATCTAAAAAGAGATCGTCTGTAGAAGCATGGTTGGAAATGGCCCGCTTTCATTGTTTCCTCAAAATGACAGCTTGCCAGAGTGACTGGTTTCATAGGCAGTTTCGTCCCTTAACTGTCTTTGAAGCAAGTATACTTTTCGACAATAATGTCTGCAGCTTCTTTTTGGATAACTGCAAGTGATAGACTGCACCTTGGAACAAATACTTGAAAAAAATATAAACCAATCATCACAACACTCCTTTCAAAAGGTACATTCACATGTACGTATACAATGACGAAAGGAGCCTTGTGATTAGTTCATGTGGGAAAAACCCACAGCAGGCAACGGGAACCTGTGATAGATGCGCCATGGCGTGTGAGAAGCGTGTTTTATTACTATTCTTTAAAAACATGCTGTGGCAAAATTGTATAACATTTTTTTCAGTCACACATTCGGCAAGGATCAATATTCTTACACCCTACAAAATTTGGGTGCAAACACACGACAGGCCTTTTCAGTTTTTGAGCCCTCCAAAACAAAAAATATAATTAAAAAAAATGCCTCTCTGAAAGATTCCACTCTATGGTCTAGAACCCTCCGTCTTATTTGTTAATCTGGGATTTTCGGATATTTGTTCAAGAGTGCCACATGAGTGCAACACTGATTTCCCAGGCACCACTGCGCTTGAATTCCAGACTAAACGTCAAAGAGGTTCAACAGCATGTATTGTGGGAGTAACAGTATCAATCTTTTCCTGAATGAATCTAAAGTTTTACCCAAGAGGTTTGGCACTTAGAAAATGGAGAGAAATGTGCCATGTTCAATAGGGGACTCAACTATGTGCTCCTTACCTTGAACTTCCTGTCAGAGGGGCCCGTGGCTCTGCCGAGGCTAGACGAAGCATGCTCTTCCATTCTTTCTCCCATTCCTCCTCGGAGTACACAAGACCAGACTAGAGGAATAAATCCAAGGGCAGAAAAGTCTACATATGCACGCACATCAAGGCTCTGGACTCCATTCACAAGTTCTCAACGAGCGACACAGAGCGAAGCTGTGCTCAAGTTGACCTCTCCTGTTGCCCAAAGACCTCATGGGATTTGTGCGTGAACAAGGGATGGCATATATCCGCACAGGAACAACTTCCCTTCAGAGCGGAACAGTTGTCCAGAAAAGTTTGGCCGAGCAGTTTTTAATGTTTCAAACAGTGCGCTCTTCAAAACACTCTTAACCTCATTTAGATTATAGCATCAGTCATAAGTAACAGGGTAAACAAAGACAAAAGAATGCTTTTGTCACAGCTCATTTGAATAGCTTGTGAATTGGCTTAAGAATGAATAACTTGTGATGGACTTACAGGGACTTGCGATGGATTCAAATATAACACCGGATTCCAGACAGATTCGTATATCGATGAAGAGTTTAAAGACGCGCAAAAAGCGAGTCTACGAAAAATTCAATGCATGAATCTTTTAAATATTATAACTATGTGCATTTTCGTACACTTAAGACTAAAACTGTACAAGTAAAACCCACCTTCTGGTTGACCTCTGTCTGTTGCCAACGCCAGCGTCTCTTCAGCTTCTGCATGCGAGGGCTGCGGGGGTTCTCCGTCAGGGTGTGATACAAGGCCTTGCGTAGGGTCAACTGCCTGTCATGAAAGCCCCACATACCTGGGTACGTAAACGGCACACATAAAGGGTACAGCATGGACAACATTTTGCATAGTGTTCTTTTTTAATAAGTAACTATTATCATTATGAATCATTTCTGGTATTGACACCGAGGATTCATCAAAAGGGCCCTAGGCAGCGTAGCTCGCAAGCCTGAAGAAAACTGTAGAGAGGAGACAATGAGAAGCGGTCACAGTTTTAGAGGTGGGAGGAAAACCCCAGCGGCATCAGGTAGAGGTTGGAAACCCATTCCACATGTGGACCGAGCCGGGATTCGAACCCAGTCCACAGAGGTGGAAGGTGAGCAAAGAAGCACTACACAAAGATTAGTGATCAAGGGGCAATAGCCATTCTTGGCAATGCTTGGTGGCAACCAACACCCTGGTTCTTAGTGAGCGGTCCACTAGTGTTTGAGGCATGACAGAGCGACCGGTATTGTGCAAGCTCACAATGGTGAAAACAATTCACTTTGAGCTGAAGTTCACCCTGACCAGCAAAAGAAAGCCAGACTGGTACGACATTGTCCCAACCGAGTTCTTGCACGCGTTCGACGTGCACGTGAAGACCATACATTCCGGAATAAATTTTTTGCACGTATTCACCTTCTCCACGTCAAATGGGCACAAACTTGCGCACCTCTGTGGTGTGAGTTCATACCAAAGGACTGCCAAATTCATTTAAGAACATGCCCTCTTTTGTTAACGCGCGGAGCAGATAGTGAGCTAATCAAAGGGGACCAGTATGGTTGCCCCCAACAAGTATCTCACAAGTCTCCCATTGAAGTATCTGAGAAAATGCAACTGATGCCCCCTGGTGTCAAATGATGTCCAGCACTACCCCTCCACATGTACTGGTACACATGTACAGTACATTGTAATACGGGCGATTCGCAATAGTGCGCCTCCAAGAGTTTGCAAAGCGTTGGCCAATCACAATGTGCATTCTGACTGTGAATCGCCCTTATTGAAAAGTTCAATTGGGAATGTTAATTCTCTTCACACTTTTTCTCTTCCTAGGAAATTCATTTTCATAAAAAAAAAACGTGAAAAACAGTGAGAAACAATTTTCACGCCTTTTCAGACAAGTTGGAAAAAGATTTTTACCTTTTGTTTTTCACACGAGTGTGAAAACAGGGTGGTGCCTTGTTGACTGCGAACATGAACGTGAATTATTTCCTCAATATTTCCCATTTCCATTTTCAGAGCTAACTTGGAACTGCAGTGTATAAAAACGTATCAAATCTCCAGCAGTCCATGAACTTCTGAAGGGCTATATCGGTAAATCACTGCCTCTGCAGGTTGGTCAGCACACTCTCATACGAATTACATGTAGCTTGGTAAAATCTACACGTATGTACATGTAACTCATAATATTGAGCATTTATTCATTCTGCATATATGCAATGTCCACTGGCAGAGATCTCTCAATTTGGCGTATTTCTTTTCCAAGAACTTTCACAGTTACCCTCTCTTCATGTCATCTGGTGTTTACTTAGGTCTACATACCCAAGGATGCAGCATGCAGTAAGCAGTTGCCATCTCCAGTGGTTGCCATCGGCCACAAACGACTGCATGCGTTGCCTTCTGCCCACCAGTTGAGTCGGCCTATAAATCCAGACACAATGTTAACGTACCGTAAAAGTTTACACACTGTAATTGATGTGAAAAAAAAATCTGAATCACAGACAATATGCAAAGGTACCGTACTGCGTTTGTGGAAACCGGAAACAGCTTACATTCTGCTACTTATATGTACATGTAGTATTTTCGAATATTTGTCAGTGATTAAGAAGTTTGGTTTCACGGGTAAACATGTTCAAGGAAAAGATAACCAAAATAAACTTCTGAAATAAATGGGTCAAATGGCATACCTTTTCAAAAGTAAACCATCACTCAATCAAAACGAATGACCTGTACTGCAGGCGCAATGCAAATAATATGACTCCCAATGGAACTGGGACCAGGATATGGGCAATATTTCCAGTACCGGCATTTTCCAGATTGGCCATTGTGGTCATCTCCAGCAAGTCCTTCTCCATGAAGGCCCGAAACTCGGCCGGGAAGACGGCCAAGTCGGGCAGGATGAAGGTATACATGGGCGTGTCCACCAGGTAATGGGCGTGGTCCTGCTCGTCCTCCGTCACTCGCTTGCGGCCGAGGTCCACGAGGGCACAGTTGGCCTTGGATATGCCCCGTTGCAGCTTCTTTGTTGCTGAAAGAAACAATGTTAGGCTTACATGCTTTCACGGTACTCATGCATGCATTATTACATTACACCAGCACACTGAGTTGCAGTTTGCAATGTCTGCAATGCATGTACATGTACACATGTACCACTGCCACGTGTTTCCTATTGCTTAAAACTCTTCCCTACATCTTACTTTAGGGTCCGCCACACTGAAAGCAAGGTTACCGTTTCAAGTTTGAACTGGAGGCTTGATATGAAAGCACTTAAATGACATTACACAACAAATGATCATCCATTCTGATGAACAATTGCTTTTTTGTGATTGAACCCGCTGTAATCATAAATGTACTGTACATGTACACTGTACATGCACTTTACTGATTTTAAACAATATTAAAAACGAGGCTTGAAACATACAGTACAGGTACATGTACTGTACATGAACCGGTAGATGTAGGGCCGTGTTTATTGCACATGGATCTGGATCATGATCAGTCATCCGGCGTTGGTTTCCAGACACCAAAACTCACCTAATAGATGGTGTGAACCAGCATTAGGATCACTGATCAAGATCACATGGATCTGGATAAGGATCAGTCATCCGGCATTGGTTTCCAGACACCAAAACTCGCCTAATGGATGGTGTGAGCCAGCGTTAGGATCACTGATCACGACCCAGATCCCTGTGAAACAAAAGGCCCTCCAGTATGTGTACAGTATATCATTGAAAGAACGGTCTCATACATGTCATACATGTACGGTACTATCGGTACTATCCAAATCAACAGTTTACAACATGCATGTACATGAATACAAAGTACATGTACATACAGATTTTAAATACTCGGAAGTGAACAAAATCTAAAAATGGCTTCTTTGTGAAAATGATACATGTAGATCAACTACACGCATAATTTAAGGAGGACAATAGACTGACAACGGACGACAACCAAACATCCTTTGTTCCATAATTTGTATTCTGTCCTCTGTTCCACCCTGACCAACTCCACCCCTCCCCCCATCCACACCTGTCATTTGCCTGTATGAACATGTATGAAAATACCAAGAGAATGCTTAGCACAGTGTGCCTAAAGCTCAATGCTACGTACATGTACCTACATGTACATGTACATGAATTGAGGCAAATAAAGAATCATCTCAACTCCATCATGTCCATGTACTGTATGTACGGGCTCAATTTTCCAGTTACACACAGTGACCATGCTGACAAGTTCCTAGCCTTCAACCACCAACAGCCTTGAAATGACCTACATAAATGTACTGGCGTATGCAACGAATCTGATTCGGTGTGCCTTACATGCACCAGTGGTGCCCAGTACCTTTAATGTACATGCAGTGTTGTCATGTTGTACTAGTTTCCTGAAATACTTCAAAACGAGGGCAGTCACGGTAAATACACGTTACATGTACAATACGCGCACACTGCACCCCCATCACACACACACACACACACAACGGAAGCAAACGCGGGCCAGCAACTTGTCAACTAAATGCCCACTTCCCTGTGATAAATGTCAAGTTGTCAGCCACTCTGCGCGTACGTGTACAGGGACCGACTCGGCGTGACTCAGTATTTGGGAGGGGGGGGGGGACTGTGCAAAGATTGATGAGATACTGTGTATCGCACTCCAACGACTCAAGCAGCCTGATTTGGCACATCCTGTACCATGGGAGGCACCGGTGCATGCATAATGCATGCATAAATGACTGATCAATGCACAGGTGTACATGTACACTGTACATGTACTGGTAGATAAAGCTACATGTACATACATGTACATGTACAGTACATGTTTACGGGGCTCGGCACTCACCACGTTTGGGGGACAATTTCTTTTGTTAGGGAAATTTGAACCGAGTTGTGGGGACATTTCTGAGTCCCCACAACCTTTTCGGTCCCCTCAAAATAGTGAAATGTCGAGTGTACATGCATACATCCCCACAACCACGTGTATACATACGTGTATGGTGTGGGAGTGTGTGTACTGCACCGTATGAGACTATACTGTGTACTGAAAGTACATGTACATGTACCGTACATGAACGTTTTGAACAGTCACTAACATGTACTGTACGTGTACATGTGCTACATGTACATCTAAGGACTTGTGACGGATTCAGGCTCATGACGATTGCTGCACTGCGTTCAACAAAACAGCATTCTCAGCTATCAGTGGTAAAAATATACATGTACAGTGTACAGTGTAGCTGGCCTCTTTCCCTCTCAATACTCTACATGTACACGTATTTCACCTTTTTGGCAAAACACTTTTTGCAGGTTGATGTGCCTGCACTAAAGGCTGCAGACCCTATGACCTGCAAATACATTCCTGTTGGGCTCCACAAGCAACATTTGATTTGAACCCCGATGACCTCTTGGCATTATTCCGCAACAAACTTGTCCCAGGCACAGCAATTATTTTCTGGCTGAAAATGTGGACTTTGAAATCACAGTATGACAGGACAGGGTATTCATGTACATGTACAGTGTACATGTACTGTACAACAGACGTAACGAGTGTGTTAAACCATGCACAGTGAACTTCAAATGTTTACATGTAAGCTAATCTTTAGCTTTTACTTTCTACTTTCAGAGCCTTTTATTTTCAGGTTTACATGTACATGTACGTTCAGTTTATGTGTTGTCATTGTGGTATAAAAATGTGCAATGGCTAGGTGTACATTAGTTGTTTTACTGGTATCATTATCATTTATTAATGTGAAGTACTGTGTCACCGGCCACAACACAGTTTCTCCAATGAGAGATAATCAAGTTTACTTGACTTGACATTATACAAAGTTGGACTCTAGAATGCTATTCATTGATAGGTGTAATGGAACATGTGTACCGTGTACATTTCTATGATACCACACTGTTGCTTTTGGCATTCGTGAGGCAGAGTGATATGGCTACAACACACATGTACATGTGCACCGCAACGGCACACAGCTCCATTGTGCATGCCCAATGTTTACTGAATTAGTTTGACTGACTGGGGGTGTGTGTGTGTGAGTGCAAACAGGATGGGAATTATTCAAGCATGATGCCGATTTCAGATGCCATCCAAACAAAGCTGCCATGACATGTTCACACGTACATGTACGGCTGAGTGACTGGCTCAGAGAATCCCCGGGTCTTTACCCGTCATCTGGCACGAGGCAGTTAAAGTTACAAAGCAAACAACATTTGTACTGAACTTAATCTGGATCTGTGTAAAAAAGACCAAGTTGACAAGAAGCACAATTTTGGAGAGCTCTAGAATGCCAAACCGCATGTAGGCAACTGGGCAAGAACAGTATTCGGAGACAGAAAGGACATTTACTTACGTGCTGGTGATCGTGCCGGGGCATCCTTCTCGTCTTTTGGCAGGGAAAGTTTGAGGTCCGTGGAGCGCTGCGATGACACTTCCCTGCCTGTATCCCCGGGAGATGGTGGGTCCCCACTTTGTGAAGATGGACTGCCTACACTCTGATTACTCATGGAGGAAGTTGCGGCTGCCGATAACGATGCATTCATGCCACTGGGCTGTACCACTTGATGCTCGGGTAGGGGCTGCCCGCTCGTTGGGCCTGTCTGCTGATGGGATCCATCCTGCCGGGAGGAAGCATGCTGTGGTTGTTGGCTGGATACCGGCTGATGGGTGGCAGGGGGCCGGTTGGGTTGATGGTTGAGTGCAACGGATTTGGGGGTTGGGAGTTGAGCGGGCACAGTTGCAGTTGCTTGAGGGGGATCGGACGACGATGCTGGTGGTGTACTATGGCCAGCCGAGGTATTACCGATAAGCTGGTTATAGTCATTGATTGCAGCAGCCCAATTCCATTGCTTCCCTGTGAAAAACCCCAAAATGAATGAACTCCAAACTAAGGAAAACATAAATCAGTCCTTGACAGGGAACAACTCTAAATGTAACGGAACAGTATTCAAATGAGCTACATGTAAGTCCATCAGCCCAAAAATCAAAACAGAAAGGACAAAAAATAAATGTCCAATTCAACAGACTGTACAGGCTGCGATACAAACATGTATGTATAATGTCAACAGATCTGTTAAATTTTTCCTGTATGCTTTGTTGAAATACACGTATGAATTTCAATTCTTGTTTGCACTGGTCTAAAGACCAAAATACATTCACGATACAACTCCTGAAGTACATGTACACTGTACACGTCCTAGTCTTTTTACTTACAGCACGTACATGTACATGTATCTGAAACCTGAAATTAACTTCCATTGTAACATGACTGATAATTTTCTTGATTGGATTTTATCATGGGGATCAAACAGGCCATGCGCTTGACCGGTGTTAACCCTACGTGTACATGTACATGTACAAGAGCCCGGTTATTTTAGCCCATCTCAAAGTGGGGGGGGGGACAAGAACTCAGCTGTACTTTGTTTGATTTTTTTTGGAAACTTGGTGCAGGCATGTAAAAGATATGCTCCTTATCA